ACACAAAGATTCAGACTGACAGCAGTCCTGCGCCCGCCCGGGTTCCCCTGTGCGATCGGAGCGCAGATGCGTCCTGTTATATCCGAGCCCGGGGAGGTGTGCGGATATAGGCCAGCTGAACGATCGGACAGCCTCCGGATCGAGGCTGCGGACCGACCAGACAGTACCGGAGGTCGGGCCAGAGGTTGGCGACCGGCGGGCTGACTAACACAACGCCACAGGGGGTTAAGGGCGAGTGTACTGCCTTGGACCCAACAGGACAGAGCAGAGCAGTCGGACAAGGTCCAGACTTCGGGACCAGAGTATGGAACCGGAGGTGGAGGCGACCGGAGTAACCGGAGATGGTGCACAGCCACAGGGATGACAGGATAGTGCACCACTCGAGGTCCGTATTCTGGAGGTACCGGAAGCGGGACCGGAGTGACCGGAGGAATAGGACGAGTGCGATGCCACAGGAAAGTGGCAGGTGAATGCACCAGCCTTTGTCCGGGAGGACGAAGGTAGGTCCGGGGGAAGCTCAGAACCGGAGCGACACTACGCCACAAGAGGTGTAAGGGCAAGTGTGCTATGAATGGTCCGGGCGAGCGGGAGGAGTAGGAATTTGTCTGGAGACAGGAGGCTCAGATTGTTCCACAGGAAGGGTGAAACAACGTGTTATAATCAAACTGAAGAACAGGAAGTACTCTAGGGGATTTAAATACTGTGAACCTTATTGTAGTATGTAAAGGGTATAAGTACGGAGAGCATGTGGAGGTAACAATAAGACTAGGTTACAAAAGGGGTTAGTATGTTGCAAACAATAAGAAAGAAGACAGAGAAAAGACAATAAGACAAGAAGACAATAAGAGAGAAGACCTAGTACCACATGGCTGAGGGCCAGGTGATACTATGGTGTGATTAAGACACCATAGTGTCCCAGGATGATTCTCCGGTGGTCTACCGGAGTTACCGGAGTTACCGGAGTGGATCTCTTGTGGATGGATGAATATAACAGGTATCTGCACAGGTGCCTTGGTGGTGATCCAAGTTGGAGCAATGTTCCGGGGGACTCCAGTGATGCTCTGGAGTCCGGAGTTTGACCGGAAGCTGTACGGGCGAAGAGCTGACTCGGGGTGACTTGGGTGAGGTCTGAAGCACTTGTGCTTGGATGTACTGAGTTCCACATTACTCCGGAAAACCGGAGTTTGACCGGAGTTGATTGAACGATGTGGAGTGACTCGAAGTGAGGTGTGAAGCTTGGTTGTATGGATAGATAGAGTCCCGAATTACTCCGGGAAACCCGGAGGTTGATCTTGAACCGGAGATATTCTGGCTGGGCTGAGGTATCCGTGCATGGATGTAACACGTCCCCAGATAAATCCCTAGGAGGTTTGTTTAAACAATGGGCTTCTCAACGTCCAACAGGGTTTAAACTCTGTTCTGTTTAAACCCCTGCTTCCGTCCATGGGGGCGGGCCCCGGCCACGGCAATGAACAGATTGAACGGGGTTCAATCCACTGGATTAAACAGGGATTGAACTAGGTTGAACAGTGTTCATGTGAACAGGGTTGAACAGTGTTCATACGCAAAACAATCCCCGAGCCTGGCTTGAACTTATGACCTGGCTGTCGCGTACACTTTGCTTGAAAGGCGGAGGGAACCTCTCGGCCAAACTGACATGGAGCACAGTCATGATTTACCCACTATGTCAGTGCTTTCTCAACGTCACAACTCTTTCACGGCTGCTCCATTTGCTATTCCCTGGGACAAATGCTGGTCATATGCCCGCAGAGGACATGCATTCTAAGAGCATCATATAAACTTGCTTGAATCCAGCATTCCCGGGTCGAAGATGGCGCCAACAGAAAACAGATCAAATATGGCTTTGTATGTGATTCATTGACATTGGCTTTCTTCTTTGTGTAGATGAATACTGTAGCGTGGCACTAACCCGTGGCTCGGGCGACGACTCGAGGGGAACTGGCTCGACGCTAGATGGGAGCTACGCACGGAGCGGGTGCTACCTACCGACTACCGCGTATCCGGGCGAATGGCCTGCGTCCTGATGCGACCATGTGACCGAGTCGCGTCGCGTCCCCGACCAGCATATGTCCGACCCCTACAATACAGTGTTGGTCCTGAGGGCCTGCATAATATTTCAGGGGTGAGTTCTGGGATTCAGGGCTGGATCCAAATTCGCTCTGCATGCATGTAAAAAATATGTTTGCCACCATATCCACTCAATGTGTGCCACAGTTTTGGTTCTCAAGCTATTGAGGCTAAGTTTTCACCAAAAATGATAGACTGGGTAAGTTTTTAGGAGTCCAGTCTTCACACAGAGTTCCATACACAACCTAAATGGCCTTGTGATGTTTGGCTATTAAGAGATTCTTATCGTCCGGCCAAACTCCCTCCGATTGCCGGCACATCGTCTCCCTTTGGCTCAGTTGAATTTCAGTCATCCCTCGTCCTCTTGTAATTTGTCTCATTTGGTGTCCTGTGGTTCAAGTCCCGCCGCTATCTACTTTTTGAAAGGACAGGTTGAACACGGTTTGAACAGAACAGAGATTAAACCCTGTTCGACGTTGAGAAGTCCATTGCTTAAACAAACTTCCTAGGGTTACTGTCCCCAGCCCTCATCTCCACCTCAAACCACGCCCCAAACGTCGTTCCCGACCTGGTCTCGAGGTCTCAACGCGCGATGCGGTGCAACCCAACCGCGGAGTGCAGGATTGTGCAGCCGCCCACGGAGGGGAGGAGGAGGAGGAGGGAGGTGGGAGGGGTGAACCGACGAGAGTCATAAGTAGAGGGGCGCACCTTGTTTTTGTGCTTTTAAGGCGACCATGGTGAGTCTCACGTGCACATGCAGCATTTGGCACGAACATCGGCGGGATGATTATTTGAGTGAGGGGTAAGCGGAGGTGCAGATACACACATTATCAATTCGCATGGCCGCACACCGTTTCCCCCGATGTCCAGCCTGCACTCACGCCTGTCCCAAACTCCGGCGCGCCGCCGTCCATGCCGATGTTCCACCCGATGGCTGGTGTCACTGGCAGCATCGGGTGGCCGGGGTTGTGGGCTGCCCCAGGCACTGTGTTCGACGGGAGGGGCGAGGAATGGTGCGGGATGGTGGTGGTGAAAAGAAAGAGGGCGAACGAGAAACACGGTTCACACGAATGTCAACTTGCTGACACACGGAATAGGGGCGTATGCCTGAAATGGAGTTGAGCTCAAAGGCAACACATTTTCATCAATGTGTCGCCTCGCTCGGAATGTGTCGCGCTTGTTGAGGATGTGGTGTCCTTCTCTTATGTGTGTGTATGCTGCTCTTTGTATATCCTCGTGGGACCTCGGGGAATCGAACCCCGTCTTACTGCTTACAACTTGCCGTTGTTAAACCGAAGAAAGGCAGATGTGCACCATACACCAGATCCCGGTTCTCTTGCTTGAGTCCTAGCCTCAAATTACTGTACCCCTTATTTCGACCGTAGATTCAGCCGCTGTGACCTGTGACCTATTGGATTCAACCTTTCGTTAGATTCAACCACGGCTGGGACCTGTGACCCACATTTTTATCATTTAACATTCAGTTGATGAAGTGTTCGACTGAGAGAAATGCTGGGTTTATTGGCCTAGCAAGCATGCTGAGAGTCAATTTGGAGTTAGGTAACCAAGGTAAGGCCCCAGAAGGCGCAAAAACCGTCAAAATTGGCGCTGGGAGCTGCTCACTTGGTGCGGGAGAAATTTTTGAATTTCAACAGGCGAAACGGTCACTAATTCAAGCCCCTCAGTGACCTGTGACCTTCATTAAATAGGTTCAATTCACCAAGGGCTGTGACCCGTGACTTGAATCTACGGTCGAAATAGTACAGTACTACAGAAAATCTGGGCACAGAATGCAAACAAAAAAAACTATGGCACTCATGGCTCATGGGACCTCGGAGAATCAAACCCTGTCCTCCTGCTTATCATTGCTCTTTTTGCTAAGCAAGGCAGCTGTGCACCGTACACCGGATCCCATCTCCAACCCATTTCTGCGCTGGCTTAACCAGAGATACTGTCAGAAGGTATATAAAAACTCAATTCAAGCAGACCGAGTAGGACCGCAGGGAATCGAACCCCGTCCTCCTGCTTGCAACGTCGATCCAATTTTGTTAAGCAAGGCAGGTGTGCACCATACACCAGATCCCAATTACCTACCTTTGATTCCTAGGTCTGCCTGACCAGAGAAAACTGCCAAGTGCAGAGGAGCCAAACAAAAAAAAAAACGGGAAGCAGTCAATAGGATCTCAGGGAATCGAACCCCGTCTTCCTGCCTTGAACATTTCATTATGCCACCTCAGGAAGAGCAGGTGTGCACCATACACCAGATCCCCATTCTTCTGCTTATTTCTGGGCTTGCTTTACCACGGAAAATGTGAGGGCGGGAAAGCCAAAAAGAAAAGAAAAGAAAAAAGAGCAGCACAACGGGAGCTTATGGGACCTCGGGGAATCGAACCCTGTCCTCCCGCTTCCAGCCTCTGGAACGAGTTAGGAAAAGCAGGTGTGCACCATACACCAGATCCCGGCTACCCACCTTAGTTCCTTGGCTAGCCTTACCACAGAATTTGGGAGCACAGAAGTCCAATGTAAAAAAAGGTGTTTTCGCAGTGGCATGGGATCTCGGAAAATCGAACCCCATCCTCCTGCCTGCAAATGTGGCGATGGTTCAGAGAAAGCAGGTGTGCACCATACATTAAATCCCAGTTCCCATACTTGCTTCTGTGATTGCTTTATCACTGATATTCTGAGGGCGGGAAAGCCAAAGAAAAAAAATGGCGCCAGTGTTGAGTATTCATGGGACCTGGGGGAATCACACCCCGACCTCCTGCTTGCAATCCAGGGACATCACCAAAGGAAAGGCAGGTGTGCACCATACACCAGATCCCAGTTCCCCTCTATGTCTCTCGGGTTGCTTTACCAGAAAATCCGAGCATGAAAGAGTAGAGAAAGAAAAAAATTCCACCAAACTAGACAAGTGGGACCTCGGGGAATCGAACCCCGTCTTCCTGCTTCCAACTTTTGAAACGAATCAACTCAGGAAAGGCAGGTGTGCACCATACACCAGATCCCCTCGATGTTTCTCGGTTTGCTTTACCACGAAAATTTGACTACGAAGGAAGTAGAAAAACCATTCAGTACATTGAGCATGGGACCTCGGGGAATTGAACCCCATCCTCCTGCCTTCACACATCCCTAGACCCTCAGGAAGAGCAGGTGTGCACTGTACACCAGTTCCCAGCTACCACCTCGGTTCCTAGGGCTACCTCACCACAGTGGTCCACAGAGAACGAGAGTGCAGGAAAGCCAAAAAAAAAATCACAAAGAGAGTAACCATGGGATCTCGGGGAATTGAACCCCATCCCCCTGCTTGCAGATATGTAGTCGCTGCAGGAACACTCTGAGGGGGCGGAACATGTTGATTTTTAACCTATACATCAACCAGAGTTAGGATAAAATTGACCCACCTATAGGTTGAATTTCACCGGTCTTAGGTTGATCCACCACCCCGCTATAGGATGATATCCGTAGGCGGAACATCAACCTAAATGTCCCAAATTTCATCCTATCGTCTGCCAGCCCTGTTCGGCTGTTTTTCAACCTAAAGTAGGATAGTTTGGTTCAACCTACGCGTTGCTTATTTCACCTGAGCTTTAGGTTGATTCTGAACAAAATTTTGGTTCAACTTATGTCGTATCTCATAGGCTAATACTTAGGCTGATTATGAACATGAAGCAGGGGGTAAATTCAGTGGGATCTTCGGCCGGCGCACAAATAAACAGGATAATTGGAAGGGATCTGGCGTTGTAGAACCAAACATGTTACTGCTAGGGCACGAAAGGGACAAATAACTAGGGAGCGGGGCTCGCGCGCCACTGTCAGAATGAGGTCAGTCGCATGCGCGTCGATAGCAAGGAAAGTGGCACCTTAACTACGCTTCACCCTATCCCTCGCCTTCGGAATACGGCGGTGGCTGGAGACAATGTTAACCTCAATTCCGAAAAGTAAGAGAAGATCAGGACATACTGATAACATCGTAAGGCGGAGTATTGCTCCATGAAGCCTGCAAAGGAATATTTACAAGGGTAATGCATGAGGGGGAAGGCACGTACCGGCAATAAACAATTCATTCCTGCCCCACAAAGTTAGTTGTGGAATTGGAGGAGAGAGCGCACCACCAACGTGTCTCCGCCGTCGACGTCGGCGCTCAACGTCGGCACTCAACGTCGGCACTCAAGGGCTGGATGTGTTGTTGTGCGCATCGGCTAGCTCGCAGATGTGCAGGTATTAGTAGAGGCGTCGAGAGACTTGAGCGGCTTGGCATACGCACACAGTTTTACGGGCCAAATATTCTCGCGGTGGGCGAAGGCGTCGCGGTCTAGTGCCATGTACTAATGCCGGTACATGTAGATAGTCAGGCAACGAAAGAGGATGCGGACGGTGACGCACTTGGAAGCCCCCGCTTGGAGAAACACTTGTACGACGAGGAATCTGAGTTCTAGAGTTGTCGGCCCTTTGTGCGGTCGCGGGTCAGAAGGTTCCAACGAGGGAAAGGTCAGGGAAGGAATGGCGAGTGGCAAGCTGGGTTCGAGGGTGCAGGAGAGGAAAGAGCCCAACAGCTCCATCCCCCACCGCCAGGGACGCCGCCGTACACTATCTTTCAGCGGCATGCCAATGCACCGCCCCATCGGCCGGCAAGAATACGGCGGGCCCACTCCGCCTCCACGTATGACATTGCGGACGGGGACATGTGGATGGATGCGAGCGCGCGCGTGCTCGCGCGATGTACGACTCTGGCATAGTGGTATCCGCTTGGGCATCCGCATCCACAGCGACGACAACTTGGCCTCGCCTCCGGGCCTCCCCGATAAAATGGCGGCAACATCAAAGAGATTGGATACTAGCAAAGCGGCATACCACGGGTAGTATAGGCGCAGTCGAGAGGGCACACAGAGGGTCCACGGACGGAGTGAGATGGGAGTGGAGAGAGAGTGGGCGTTGTTTGTTTGTGTCGTGATCAAAACGAACCAGTGCACGCACACATGACGTTCCGCTCCCAACGCTCGACGCGCATGACCTTGCAACATGCTCCCTGGAGCTCCGCAAATTGCAGCCAAAGTGAATCTAGACTACGTGTGGACTCCGATATCAGACCGAAAGGCAAGCAAATGCGATGTCAAAATAAACAACTAATTCGAACCACAAGTTTGCAACAAGGTCGAGTGCATGAGGACAGACCACAAACTGCCCCGATAGTGTCCCCCATAGCTCGTGGCTTCCTGTCTTTGACCTGTCTTCCAGTGGCTCCACTGAGGACGACCCCTGAAGTTCCGGAAGACTGGAGAGATACAAGCCAATTTCTGATGATACTACTGTGGACTCACTGGGGACTGTTTGTAATATCACTTCACTTCTTGATCACCTCTTCAACTGATGAGATTCAGCTCCCTACGTTTCCTTTTCCGGTGTTGATCTCCGGGCGGTTTACTTACGCTCTGTAGTACAAACAAACCTCAGTCGTTCCTTTTATTCCACGACTGAGGTATGTTATCACTGTCCTTACTATTACCTATGTACTGACTCAGGTAGTTCTCTCATTAGGTATATAATATAGTCGTTCCTTTTATTCCACGACTGAGTTCTCTCATTAGGTTATGGGCCCCGCCATATAGGCGCTATTCTCCCAATCCATTGCTGAGCAAAACTGGATCCAGAATCCATCCAATCCTATCCTACCCCTGCTTCCATCTCCTCATCCCCATCTTCATCTCGCACCTCGCGTCCTCCGACTCCGGTCCGTGCTTCGCCCACACCGATGCCATCTGCCACGTCATGGGAGCTTCCGTCCACCGCGGCCCACTGGTTCCCGCGGCAGGAAGGGGATCGTCTCAAAGACGAAAATAACTACCTCCCGTGGTCTATTCGCATGCTCACCTCGTTCGACAATTGCGAGCTGAAGGGCATCATCGAAGGCACCGATACGGAGGCAGCGGCAACGGACAAAGTCATCTGGAAGAAAATGGATCGCGCCGCGCTCAATATCCTCATGGGCTGCATCGCGTCCAACCTCGTCGTCAAAATCTCTTCGGCCAAAACGGCGAAGGGAGCCTGGGACTCGCTTGCGACCGAATTTGGTCAATCGGGCGCCGGATCCGTCATGTTATGGTTCCGCCGGCTCGTCAAGCAGCTCTCGCCTGACGACAGTCTTCCCAAGCACATCACGGACTTCCAAGAGGCCGTGAAGCAGCTCTCGCTCTCTGACTTCGAGATTCCGGATCACATCACCGCCGCCATCCTCCTCTGCACCATCCCTTCCGATCCACACGACCCCGAGTCCTACTACCAGCACATTCAGGGCGTCAAGATCGAGAAGGACAAGACCACGCTCGTTGCCGTCGCCCAAGGGATTCTCGACGCGAAACGACGTGTTCCCGGCACGGATACGCAGCCCAGCGAAGCCGCACTCGCAACTGCCTTAGCAACGCTAGAGCGCTCTGCCCGTTCCAAGGGCAAGCTCTTCTGCACGAATTGCAAGCGCAATACGCACGCGACGGCCAACTGCTGGGCGAAGGGCGGGATGAAAGAGGGACAGGGACCAAATCAGAAAAAGCAGCGGGCGGGTAAAAAGGGCAAAGAGAAAGCCCACGCTACTGAGGGTGGGGACGGAGACGAAAATGTCGATTCATCCTTTGTCGGTTTCGAGCAATCTTACAGCGCTGCCCCCGTGGCGACGCGTCTTCTTTATTCCTCGCGTGACGTCTGCTCCCCGACTTCGACACTTCCTCCCGATGTTTCCCCTTCGGACGACGACCAGGCGTACAGTGCACGTACGTCGGGCACGCCACCCATCATCATCGATTCTGGCACATCCGCTTCTATCCACTCCGACCGATCACAATTTATTGCTTCGTCGATTAAGCCTACCTCCGCTGACGTCCGGGGATTTGGCAACGGCAAAGTAAGGATCGAGGCTCGAGGCACCCTACGTCTACCGGCCAAACTCCCGAACGGTAAAATTGCAGCGCTGGAGTTCGGCGATGCAGCTTACGTCCCGAATTCCTCGCTGACGCTGATCTCAGTATCACGTATGGACGAGCGCAAGCATTACACGTTATTCGGTCATGGTCGATGTGTCGTATTCCACAAAGATGACCAGGGCTCCCTCCTTCAGGATATACTTTCCAAGGAGGACGTAGCATTCACTGGCACTAAACGTGGAGATCGCCTTTACCACCTCGACACTCTCCCGCGGTCGGAATCTTCATTTTCCACCGTTACCTCTCAACTCTCTCCGCTCGAACTCCTCCATTATCGTCTTGGCCATCTAAATTATCCGGCCATTCGTGCTCTCGTTCGCGGAAACTTGATTGATGGTATACGGATTTCCACAGCAGATCTTAACGCGACGCCCCCCGTATGTGACGCTTGCATGCGGGGGAAGATGACCCGAGCATCTTTTCCCCCTTCCAAGACGCCAAAATCCACGCGTCTGCTCGGTCGCGTTCACTCTGATCTGTGGGGTCCCGCTCCGGTTCATTCGAAGGGCGGCGCACGATACCTGTTTGCGCTCACCGATGAATACGGGCGGTACCGTTGGGTATTTTTCCTGCGGCGCAAGAAGGAGGTCTACGCTACCTTCAAATTGTGGTTGGCGTTCGTGGAGAATCTATTCGGCGTGAAATTGGGCATTTTACGGACCGACAACGGCGGCGAATACATCCTGAAAGCTCTCGAGAATTTCCTCAAGGAACGAGGTATCCTTCACGAAACCTCTTCCCCACGTACTCCCGAGCAGAATGGACTCGCCGAGGTCGGATTCCGCACCATTTTCAACCGCGTTCGCACCATCATCGTGGACGCGGGTCTTCCATTCTCATTCTGGGCAGACGCCGTTAACTATGTCATCTCCACATTAAATCGAAACCCTACCTCCGCGCTCAAAGGTGTTACCCCACTTGAGCTTGTCGAGAAACGGAAAGCCGACTTCAAATCCCTTCATCGATTCGGCTGCAGGGCGTACTTGTATAATCCTGACCCCAAGCGCCGCAAATTCGACGAACGGGGGGAGCCCG